ACCTATCCCGACGAACTTTGACGGGATAGACCTATCCCGCCGAATATGTGTTGCCAGTCACCCCCCTTTATTCCTTCACAGGCAGAGCCACTGTGTCAAAACGACCGGTCACTTTGCCCAAACGACCGGTCGTTTTATCCTTCTTTACCGAACATTAAGCCTCTGTGTAAAAATGACCGGCCGCCAGTGAAAAATAATCGGTCATCTCCACACTGCCAAAATCATTAGAAGTAAGTTGAACAGTTTTTTGAGATTTTGTCCACTCCGGACCCGCATTCAATGCTGAAATTTAGGAAAAAGCTTGGCAGGCCTTCTATCTTGTGGACTGGACATGACAGAAAGGCTTTTATAGAAAAGCTTGGTAAGGCTTCTATGGTATACCAAAATCTCTTCACAACAGCTGAGGTAACTATGCGTATGACTAGTTACAAAAATACAGAGCTGATATAAAAAGGGGTACCTGGGATTAACAAACTACAGTTTTCTCATTAATTACTAGCTAATTATCTGTAAATCTAAAGACTGAAAACAAGATATGAACAGAAAATCTAGGCATTGATCAAAGACTTATTCCTAAAGAAACGCCATCACACATTTTATATTAAAGAAAAGGAACGGATAGCCAACGGTTGTGAACAACCGAGGATGTGCATCATATTGACACTAGTGCTTGTCCTCCTTGGGGATCTCCTTTGGTGAAACTTTTGATTCCAGTTCCTTGGTGATTCTGAAAGAAAATCCATTAAGTAAAATTAATGTCTCTTGAAATGCAAGAGAAAACAGAGGAAATTGTTGCCATGATAATAAACATGAAATTTCATATCACAATTCATCGAGTCCTCAAGATTGTACTTAGGTGGTATCTTTGGCAATAATCCATGTCCAAGTTTGGCTGGACAACTTTTTAGAACTCTACACCATCATTTGATAACAAATCAATCTCGATCTATTTTAAAGACCATGGACACAAATGCCAGAACCAAAAGAACGAGTCTAGGGCAAAGCTGAAAAGCAAGAACAAAAGAAAATAAGCATGGAATGAGTACCATCTTAAAGATGCCCTTTAAAAGAAAACTATGATTCATGACAACAGCATAAATTCTCATCTAATCTGAATATAAAGCATATCAAGTGTTGCATTCTGCGGAGAATCACAATTAGCACAGTAAAGCTGAACCATTTTCATGAAACATTTGAATTAGAATGAACTACCAAAAATTTTACAAAATGGTGTCCCTCAAACATATCTACAATTTCAGAGTGAAATTTTTTTTATAGAAGAAAACGAAAATATGATAAGAGGATTACTTGGGGGCATTGGCAGAGTCTTCTTCAAGCCACTTACGGATATGTTTGACATTGCGCCTGAAGATGGTAGCCGATTGCTTCACATCACTCCTCAGCAGAAGAACCACCGCACTTACACCAGCAACAGTCAGTATGAAGTTTGTCAAAGCCATACTTCTTGTGTTTCTTACAAAACCTACTTCCAATACAATGACAGAAATGATTTAGAATGCACTCCATTAAATGTAGTTCAAAAAATTAAAACCCAAGTCTTAGCTAACTAAGCCAATAAGGATGAATGATTCATTGAGTATCAGGAATATCACTATCCTTTTTGTACCAAGAAAACTCTGTTAAAAACGATAACAAAAATATATTATTTGTAAACAGCTAATGAAATAAAACCCAACTGAGGATTGGTTAAAATCAAGGTCCAGACTTCATGGTTAACATTTGTTTTCTATTCAAGCAACTTCAAATCTTCAAAGAAACAAGATAAAGGACTAAATCCTATCAAATTACACAAACCCATCTAAAAAAACAAAAGAAAAGTGCACTCTAAGACAAACTGAAAAGTAAATAGCCTCTCAACTATGTAAACATGGAACCCATAGCCCCTATCTCAACTGGTTCAGTGCAAAAATGGAAGACATGCTGACCAACTATTATTATTATTATTTGATGAAACCCTTTACTTGAACCAAATCACATGAAACGACAACAAATCAGCACTAAAATCTAAAATTAATTCAGAAACTTAGGGCCCCTTGCCAGGATTGGATTGGATTAGATTGGATTTCATTGGATTGCATTGGATTGGAGTAGATAACACTAATCCAATCCCATGTTTGGTGTTAAACAGGATTATGTGGTTCGATCAAGTTAAAATATGCTATTTTGAGATTTATTTTTAATAAAATTGAATTAAACTATATTTTTTACGTCAAAATTAACAATTATGCAAGAACAAAAGTAAAAGCAACAAATATTCCAATAAAATAAATATAAAAAGGTATTTTCTAATAAAATCAAAATTCATAAAATTATAAATTCCAAAAATATCAAATACACATAATTAACCTAATCATTAACAACCCGTATTTTCCCTCCATTCATTAAATATTCAAATACACAGGTTATGGTGCTTTTAGTAGGTGGCCTTGTAACCTACACACTCCATTTAAAACCGAATTGAACTATCTTCTAATAGTCTCTTCTGAACGTTGGAACATATCTTGCATTGGACGATTCTTTACATCGTGAGCAAGTATATGTAGAAAGATACACACTTGCTCCTCCACAGGCACCAATCCATCATTTTTCAACCTCCCATGACTATGAAGTAAATTACACAGCACACCAAATGTCCTCCTATCCATTCGGACACATTCACATTGTATGTCACTTGAATTTATGAATCTATGCTATCTAATACACTCAAACGAGTGTCATGCCTAACTGATGCGTGATTACTAAGAACTTTTCTTTTCTTCCGATATCTATGTATACAAACACACAAATGTAACAACACCATTGTGCCCATCACAATTTTTTTGTAGATGCAGTTGCCTTGCCAATACAAATAACACAACTCTTCTTCTATGCATATCTAATCATCATATATGAAACAAAATTAAAAAACTTGTACATATATCCAAGGTTAAGCCAAGCAATATAACACAATGAACCAATTCCTAAATTTCTAAATTGACATGAACCAATTCCCGTGTTTGGATAAAAAAACATAGAAATTTAGAAATTCCGTGTGCGAAAAAACATGGAATTTGGAGATCATAAATCCCAACTTTAAATTCTATCTAAAAGTCGTCATTTCTAAAATCCCAAGAGATTGAGTTTTTTAAAAAGACAACTTTACAAATAAAGGTTAAATTCCGTGTTTTAAATCTGTCACCCAAACAAGAAACGTTACAAATTCTAGAACATTAATTTCCGTCATTTTAAAATCCGTCATTTATGAAATCCTTTGTACTTTTAAATTTCCTCATCCAAACGCACTGTAAGATTCCATTCAATGCACATGATGACATTAGTTCTATACTGTCTATGAACTCAATTAATCTATGGTTGTAAAACTAGATTGCACTCGCATTAAGTACACTCCCCCATTGGCTTACAATTAGACAAAAGAAAAATAAAACTATGCAATTAATCATGCATAATGTAGGAGAAATTCTCAAGGAAAATGCATATATAGCAAAAAAATTCACATAAATTAAAGCAAAACTCAGAGGCTAATGTATATGAACCATCATCATCATCATCATCCAAAGAAGCATTTCTGTTAAGCAAAACAGGGCAGTGCAGTCCTCGTGCATAATAAGACAATTCAAAAGAGAAGATCATATCTGTAAATTGCTGGCATAAACATAAATAAATACAGTACACTTCCAAAGCTACATATGTGCTGACTCCCAAGTGCTAAAAGCTACGCTAATATTGGCTACTTAACTTGGTTGGTAATTAAACAAGGTGCAATATGGTGGAGCTGGTATAGTACTAAACAAACAAACGATACTCTATTTTGTAAAGGAGTTTAGTTTAGATTATATATATATATATATATAAAATCTAAACTAAACAAAACTCCACCTAAAAGATTCCAAAATACATTCTGTATTGTCAGTTGGAATGAACTCTTATGAGAACAATTCTAATAGTATGGATTAGCAACTAAAACAGAGGGGCTTTGCTGATTTATTGAAATAAGAATTCAAGAATTCTGACATCTTAAAGAGCTAGAACAACCATTTCTATCTGCTAGTTCTAAAAAGATAACAATATTATTAGTATTACTGGTTTTCATCCAAGGCTTCAAATTATTTATCAGTCTTCAATATTTTTTTTCCAGCAAAGCATGCAACTGTTTTGAATTTGAAGGCTTCTGTTGAGATAGGTGTGGAGTCTCTCAACTTTTTGCCATTATGCTGGAGTGAAGTGGTTAAAGCAATAGGATTAATTGGTTGGTTTATTTTCTCTTTAAAATGCAGGAAACTGCACCGACTCTAAATGCAGAGGAGCTTTTCGACTACATTTTGAACACTCATCCAAACAATAATACTCATTACAGAAACTAACAAATGCTTGGCAATAGATTAGACAAAAACTTAGCCACAAGCATCAAAAAATCTATACAAAAACTCACATCGAATCTAAACAAAAACGAAAGATCTTGAGAGAACATCAACATCATCAACTCATCAGTCAAAAATACAATGAAAACTAACAAAACTCATGGAGAAACAACGAAACCTAACAAACCTATTTGATAAAAAATTTCACTTCCAATGTTAAATCCTGAGAAAACAAGAATTACAGAAAGGAAACAAACAAATAGAGCTTGGGTTCCTGAAAAACCTTGGACATGTCAACGAGAGAGACAGCGAGTTACCTGGGCGGAGACCACTGGAGAAGGCTGAAGAAACGACAGAGGTCGAGCTCAGTTGAAGCTCTGAGCGAACGAGTCAGAGCAATTCCACCAACAACACCCAGCCCTGGCAGGACAGGGCCCGAGCCCAAAAACCAGCTTCCAGCGGGCTTGTGAAGCCCGGGCAGGCCATGGGTCCCACGAGACTGGGTCAGCAGCCCACAGGATCAGCCCGAAGGCTGCTAACATCAGCGTGGTAATTCAAAAAAAATTTAACGCTGGCATGTGTAACACACGCGCCAATGTTAAAAAAATTTCGTATTACCGCACCCTGGCGTCGACCAACGGTAACTTGCCATGTGGCGCGTTCTGGTCGCTCCGATGCTTCTTTTTTTTCAAATCCATCGGCTGGGGTTTTTTGGGCAAAAAAAATGTGAAAAAAGTTCAGAATTTTTTTAAAAAATTCTGAATTTTTTTAATTGTTTAGGTATTTTAAAAAAACAAAAAATGAATAGTATTTGCCCTTTGCCATGGCAACGGGTGGAAACACACATTGCTTTTTGTAAGGACAACCACTATTCATATGAATAGTATCTGCCCTAGGCCCCCCTTGCCCTTTGCCATGGCAAATGGGTGGAATTGCTCTCAAGCGTGCGAGGCTAAAGAATGAGAGTACAAGAGGGCTGGCAATAGGTCGTGTTAGAATAATAAACGTGTCAAAAATGCTCAACCCGAACCCGATCCATTTAATAAATGTGTCATATCGAGTTCGGGTAGCAACTAATAAACTTCAATGACCCTTGATTAATTAAAAAAATTATTTCACTTTAAACCCAAAAAAAAAAAAAAAAAATCTCTTGGATTTTCACGCATCACTTTTTGGGGCTCATCACTTGAGCTTCCAAAGATCACCCTCTCTCTTTTCAATTTTCGGATAACGCTCTAACAATCTTCAACCAAATTTCGTTCTGCCACCAACTGAGCTCTTAACACTTGTACTTCATGAGATTTCATAATTAGGCGATGCCTAACACTTGTGACAGATGCAGCACTATGCACGCTCAATGTCATGTCATCACTCATTACCTGGTTATCATCTCTTGTTCCCAGCACACGCACATCCTTGAGAGTCACTAAACTCCTCGCAACTCCAATGACAACATCATTGTCAAGGAGTAATGAGTTGTTTACTATAACTGACCCTCGTGAGGAAGCAAAATAGGGCATCCACACTGGTACAGCCCCTTACCCCCATGTCTGAGTTGGCTGAGCTAAGTTTAGATCGAGAGAAAATGGGAAGGAAGATGTCATTTTATTTCTAAGGTTGAGGAGATGGGTTTATATCAAGATAAATGGGAAGGAAGAAAATTGGCGGAGTTAGGTTTTTTTTTTTTTTTTTGAGTTGTGATTTTGTGTTTTCCACTCATTTCCTTTTATAGACAAAGCAAAGTATGATCTTTCTGAACAAACGCGTTCAGCAAAGTCATCATGACTTTCCATGACAGCTATCACCCGTAATTTCGAAGAGATTGCCGGATTTACGGGGATTTGTCTCTATCATTATCTTGGAGTTGTCACTTGGGATTTGTGGGGGCCGCTTGGGGTTTGTGCGAGTATTAATAAATAAAAAATTTATTAAAAAAATCATAATTTAAAAAACGGACAATAAATTATACTTCTTTAAAAAAACAGTTTGTTGAAACATTATAAATATTAAATGGTGTAGCATATAATCACAAAGATGTATGTGGCATGGTGTATAAGGTGTTTGAGAGGAATGAGAGTGATAGAAGTTTATTAAACGGGTCATGACGGGTTGACCCAAAAATGACCCAAATTTTATCGTGCGGGTTCATGCCATGTTTTTTCAGTGCAGATTTCGAGTCATGTAAAGGATTGTATCAAAAATTACCACCCCTAAGCATGAGGCATCATCTGAATTCTGACCTGTTGGTCAGGTTTTTTTTTCCTCTTATTAATATTATAGGTATTTTAAATATATAAAAAAACCACCTATAATATTAGTAGAATATTAATTAATAAGAGGGGGGGAAAAATACCCTGACCAACTGGCCAGTTGGCATGAGACTTTAAATTGTTTTAGTAGAATTTTACAGAAAATTAAGATTGTCAATTTTTTTCAATCAAGTGAGAATTGTATTCATAATCTAGTTACTGAGGGCCAATAGAACTCCAAGAGAGGTACATCAACATCGTCAAGAAAATATGATTTTCCTCCAAACCAGAGCCACAAAGCGCCAATCAAGATTTGACCTTTTTTATATAAAAAAAATTCCTACAAAGTATGAAAAAACAAAAACAAAAAAGGTAGAGGAGACCCCATTTCAATGTAACAATGATTCAAGACTACCTGTAGTTCAATTGACCAAAATAGAAAAGAAGTAGAGAAGAGATGACTATTCAAAGAATTTTTTCATTATCACAAAAGCCAACTCGTTTATTGAGTAGGTGATAGCTGTTTGGATTTTGCAACAGTACTGAGTCATCATGTTGGAAATTAAATTAGAATCTGAAATCCTCATCTTCATCTTTGTAATTGATGAGCCCAGAATAATGAAAGCCTTGTATAGATCAATAATGTGAACTGCAGGCATAATATAACTTTAGCATTCAGATCGGTTGCCGGCCGGAACAATCTACGTGAACATAAGCAAAATGTTGGCCCCCCCCTTGTAGACTGATGCATTAATCGACAAAATGCATATAGTGAAAATGCCATTTGTTCTACTCAATAAATATCTTCAATTAAAAGAAAGATGATAAACAGTGTTTATTAATTAATTCACAAAACAGACTTCAGATACAAATTTAATTCCAAATTAACCTATCAAAATCTCCTTTTACCCCATAAGGTAGTTCAACTTCCAATGAACTTCAGACAACCAATCTCACAAATATATGGAAAAGCACAGTATAACCAATCCTTTAGTAATAAGCCTTCCGTGGATTGTTCTGCAACCCAAAAAGTCCAGAAAACGTATCAGAAAGTCAGAGATGACAACAAGATGAAAAAAATTCTTTATACTCCTAATGCCAAACATGGAAAAACACACAAAAGGAGAAAAAGGTAACTACCAGAGGATTGGGTCTGTATCGGTAACCAAGCATCATCCGCTTCTTATACTGCTCGTATATATCATCTTCAGGAGTCACTTCTCCAGGTTGTTGAGCACCAACCCCCAGATTGTCCTTCTTCACATTACCAGCCATTATTGGATCCGAAATTCCTCTTCTAGAGCTCCCCAGACCCTCACCTGAATACACTTACATCATTAGGTTTCTCCCTTTGAAAAACAATGCATCACCGTAGTAGAAAGGACTGATCACTGAAAAATCTGGCAATAAATTCCAAGAATAATCTATTTTCTGGATACCATTACGAGAGTTTATGACCAACCTTCTTTCCAACCCATTTTAGACAAAAGTTTATGACCCACATTATCCGCCTGGATTTTTGCCCTATCTGCAGCTTCTTTGGCAGCTTTCTGTGAAGCTGCATCATTACAAGCGGCCATAAACTTCTCCAGCTCTTCTTGTGGGATGTAATCACCCATGTGATGACCTTTTTTAAGAGAAGGTGCTGTGAAGAAAATAGGAAAAAAAAACATCTTGAGACCATGTATTTGCATCTATCTGACCCAAAAATAGAGCTAAAATATAAAAATGTTTCCGAATAACCATATGCAATTTCTGGTTTCCATCAGTAACAAATATGAACCTTGAAGAGAAGCAGGTGGGGGCATTTCATCTTTCGACTGTTTAGGTTGTCTCTTTCTCTCTTCCTGAGCAGCCTTTTTCACGTAGTACTCCATCATGGCAATAGGATCTGCACCTGTTGGCGCGGTGAGCTCACCTATGATTGCAGATACAAGTAGTAAAGTTAGGACCAAGCATAAAAACCCAATCAGTAGTCCCTAAATAGTTCAATGAATACAACAGTACAAATACAGAGGTAGAGAAATCCAGACATTCCACCAAAGGAATTACTGGCACAACTGTGTTTAAATTGTCTAACAATATAATATAGCCACTACAAAACGTAAGCTTACAAAAAAATAAAAAACACCAGCAGAATTTGGGTTTTAGAAAGTGAATCACTATAACAATTTGCTCCCCATCACATACCAAATTACAAACAAATTATATAGTTGTTTCTGAATACATGAACTGAAACATTAACCATATCTAAAAAATCGAAAGGGGCAAAAAACACTGAAAAGCAACAGAAGATGTTATATCGTATACCTGTCCTTCCCTCAGTGGCGTCATATAAAGCAGAGGCAGGAGTTTGATAATTTGGATGCTTCAAAGTAGACCTTTGGGAACTACTTGTGGATTTGGAAGCGGACATGTTTGTACCTCCTACAGGCAGTAACAACCCAAAATTTGAGTCTAAAAGGAAACTAATGTTACAGAATAAGGGCAACAACAGTTAAAGAAGATTGCTAAGGATTGATACATATCTAAAAATAATATTCCAGATTTATATATTATGGATCACAAAAATGGATATCAAATCTCAACAGTGAGAAGAATACTAGGAGTCCTGAGCACATAAGGACGTCAATGAGAGCCCACCTCCCATTAACAATCTGATAGTTTTAAATTTCTCAAGACCAAGTAGAATTCAATCAAAACAGAGATTTTCAAGAAGTAACCGTAATAAAACCAAATTTTAAAACCTATGCTAAATTATTAGGCCATGGAAAAGGCACACAAAAAAAAAAATTGACACAAGATTTAAAATTTCTCATCAATGAAAAAGCTATTCAAACAATAGTGTTGCACAATCCAGGCAAGAACTCTCAACATTGCAGAAAAAAATCTTCAAACAAATCACTTTCGGTAAACAAAAGTATTATATAAGATATTAAGCAAAATCTAGGTTCATCAGCCTATCATGGACAAGGCATGTTAGGAGGTCTACAACTGTAACAAGCAGGAATCAAACTGAAGAAAGCTATATATATTTCAGTGAAAACAATCAATACTGGTGGAAATATGAAGCCAAAAAAACAAGAAAAAGACTGCAGCTGTTTGCTGTATATTAACACAGTCTGAAAAACCAGAATTTCAGTATACTATCAGTAAAAACCAACCCAGAGTGACAGAAATTGTACCAATATACCAAAATTGGCTGATACTACCGATATTACAAAAGTTACAGTGAAATATCAGCAGCATAGGTGACAAATAAAGCTTCCCCCCCATCAAATGTTGGTACCACTATTTGGCCAAAATTTTGGCCAATCAACCGAAACTAAAATCCTAATCCTTTGTGACAAGTACAAATACACTCACATCACAGATTTAAATGCACAAATACTAACCATTACGAGATGTTTGAGAATCGCTGGTCTGTTGCAGGACTTTCTCCTCAATGGCAAGCTGATACTCATAATATTTGTAATCAGCACAGCTCTCATCAAATAAAAATCTGCAAACAAAATAAAATGCCAATGCATAGAGCATATGAGCTACCAAAAATGGCAGGAAGAGCCAAACCAGAAAATACAATAAAGAAAATGATACCCAAAACCTATATCCATAGTGAATCATTCTCCTTTTGCATTTCATAAATGCCAACAGACAGATTGGACATAACAGAAAAAATAATTGAGTTGAAACTTCATAATGTACTTACTTGAAAGGGGTATCTCCTGGATTTCTTTGACGTGTAATATGCTCAAATTTCCTTCCATGTCTAGCCACAAAACTTGCTAGTTTGTCAGCAACTATCTTCACTGTTGAATCATTTGGGGAAGATGGTGCTGCATATCACTTATAAAACTGATTAATACCGAGAGCATGAACAAGGGAATGCAAATTACTCTTGTAGCAGGCGTGCCACATATTCCAATTCTTTCATTGAACATCTCTTTCCACCAATGTTGATAGGAACTTAAGGAATAAGCTGCATTCATGAGACAAGAAATATTCAAGAATGTTTTGTCCTCTTCATCCACACCACTTCAAGAGTAGAGAAGACAATTACTGAGATGATTTTCTCAATAACAGGGTACTTACCGGAGGGACAATTTCGATTTACTTCAATTATTTTTATTGGCCTAAATTTACTTCATATTTTAAAAAAAGATTCAGAAAGATAAGAACACCTAACAGTCCTCCTACACATCCCTTTTTCTCAACTAGCAAACCAAAAAGAGTGGTAAAATGGCTCCAGACACCACATATAAAGAAAAAAAAGTTCACAAGCCCTTTCTGGATACAAGAAATCCATCAAACTGAGAACATTGGCTAGACTCCAACCCATCTTACAGATGTGAAGAAAACATTAAACAAAATCTCATCTTGGGGAAGAGATAAAACATCAACATGCATCACAAAAATTAAAGAACAGCAACCAACAGCCAATACCTTCGCTTCATATTTTATAACTTCAAAATCATAGAAGCAGAGAATGAGATGCAGGATTTTTTCTTTTTTTTTAACACGAGTCAAGAAGAAAATTTAGGGTTTATGGTAACTATTTACAATGGGGTGAAATGCAGGAAAAAGTTTGTATGATAAAGGTGCAGTTGAATTAATTTCAACAGTTAAAGCATCAGGAGTAGATATATGAAAAAAAACTCACTTTCTGCCACACAGCATTGTCTGTAGAATGCAATATACATATCTTGTGCAAAATATGAAAAACTTACTAAATAACCCATGGATAAAATTAATGGAGAAAAAGCAAAAGTCGATGTCTCAAATTATGTTCTAAAAAATCAACTGAAACTGTAAAGACCGTTCACTGCAATCAACCAAGTTAAAGGATATGCATAAAAGCAGTAATTACCAACATCCATTTGTCCAGGTGATTCCTCTGAGGCATCTGGCTGACCCAACTTTTGTCGTTTAGTTGGTGCATCGACTGAAAAATTTGCAGCATCTGCTTCATCTTCATCCTCATCTGCACCTAACTTAACAGGAGGTGTCACAATCTTTGACTTCTGTTTCAAGCTGAAAGCAAGTTTGCCACCTGAAGCAGCAGCTGCGGCCTTGCGTGTATCATTAGGCTTCAGTTCAGCACTGGTTTTACCAGTGGTAAGGTTAGGAGTCAAACTCCCTGATACAACTTTACTTGGTGTAGACTCGTCTGCTGTAGGACCCTTATCTTTCTCCTTCTCTTGTTGAAGTTGTTTGAACCTTTCCATGAATGAACCATCATTAACAAAGAGGCTAGGAGTCACTCCTTTGTCCATTGGAAAATATCCAAGTTTGCTTAGGCTGTCAACAGGAATTCACTGTTTGACAAGTAAGCTTTCAAAGAATTTAGACATTAAAGTGATTCTTTTATCTGATCTTTTCAATTTTTTGTCTATTAATATACAGCATTGTATGAGATAATTTTTATGTCTTCAAAAGCAAATTATAACTCGAATGATGACAAAAAGGACAAAAAGAAAAAAAGAGAGATATTCCCACATTTTGGCAAAATGCTGTGAATGGGCCTTGGTTTCAGAAACAACCACACTGCTTATATCCACACAGCTTTATGAGTGGGAAGTTCAAAAGCAGTAGATATCCCGAGTGAAATTTAAGATAAATAACTGGATCTAGTGAGTCAGAAAACTGATGCCAATTCCCAGACCTCAGGTGATATTTGTTCAATCACTTATATAAACATCACAAAAGTTAAAGAAACTGATGTAGATGATACTTGATCTCCCAAAAGTTTAAGGGATTTAATAGATGGTACAAGAGAATAATCTTCTACACACCCGTGTTCAATGAAACTTAAGCTAACAATCTTTATGATTAGAAGGTAACAAAAACTGTCCTCTTAGAAATATTAGTACATAATCCCAGGTTTCGCGACCATAATAGGAATACAACTTACTCAGCGGCACCTTCCACCACTTCCGTATTCAATTTTGTTTGTCCAGTCTACTATTTATTTTCCTTTAATCTAAATAAAAAATCTATATTTCAAGAAAACAACCAAATTAATCATCATAGCATTGTCGAATTCAATTAGGCTTAATAATCAACACAATCCTATTATGCACCTTGCATACATACGAATCTAGCCAAACTGATATAGAAAAACAGAAACCCTAAAACCAAAATCAAATTTCAAATTAACTCATTTTGCCTCTCCATCTAATGCAAAAAAAGCAAACTTCAAACCCCAATTCGCCACAGCAGTACCAAACACAGAAAAACAAACCCTAAAACCAAAATCAAATTTCAAATTAAATCATTTTGCCTCTCCATCTAATGCAAAAAAAGCAAACTTCAAACCCCAATTCGCCACAGCAGTACCAAACACAGAAAACCACCACAAATCAACCCGAAAAAGCCAAAACGAAACGGAATCAATAATGGAGTAACCAACTGAAAACTAACCAGAATGAACAGATTCAATTTCAGATCGTTAATCTTCCTCCGATTGGTCAATTGGAAACACGATCTGCCTAATTAGGGATTGGAATCCGAGACCCTCTCTCTCTTTGCTTAGAGAACGAGAAAGCGAAGACCGCTTGGCTTTTGCACAGGGTCGTGTTCCTTATGTAGGACTTAATTTACGAGTACGTAAGTTTATTTTTCTTTTTTTGGATTATTTTTTTGTTTTGTCAAAGAATCCTAATTTTCTGAACCAAAAAAAAAAAAGTATCCTAGTTTTATTCGATTCAGAAAGTTATCAAACATATTCTACCAAAAAATGTAGTTAATCTCATAAAAAAATGTATTTAAGAATTTTTTTTTTTCCATACATAGCTTAGCCAAGTTGGCTGCACTTGAGTTCGAATTCCCCTCATGTAGTCTGGATTAGTTTAAGAAAAATATTTCTCTTTTTATCAGGTAAGTAGGAGCTTCTATATTCTTGCCAGTAGCAGTGTGACATGTATACAAAAGTTTTTCTTTTTGTGTTTTTATGAATTATTTTTGCATATGTATCAAACTGTGATTCGCATGAAGGAGGAGTATCTCCTTACCAATAAGGAGGCAAGTAGTGTTAATAAGGACTTGGAGTTCCTTATCAATGTAACAGTGCCGTATTGGTTAATAGTGCCGTACACATGAATAGTAACTATATTGGCAAATGTACTGTATGCATGAATAGACAAGTATTCATGACCTGATGAATAGTACTGTATACATGAATAGTGACATATACATAAATATTAACCATTTTGGGTAAACCGTCACTATATACACCAAAAAAAAAAAAAAAAAAAAGGATATATTCTTGCCAGTAGCAGTGTGACATGTATACAAAAGTTTTTCTTTTTGTGTTTTTGATGAATTATTTTTGCATATGTATCAAACTGTGATTCGCATGAAGGAGGAGTATCTCCTTACTAGTAAGGAGGCAAGTAGTGTTAATAAGGACCTGGAGTTCCTTAACAATGTAACAGTGCCGTATTGGTTAATAGTGTCGTACACATGAATAGTAATTATATTGGCAAATGTACTGTATGCATGAATAGACAAGTATTCATGACCTGATGAATAGTGACATATACATAAATATTAACCATTTTGGGTAAACCGTTACTATATATACACCCAAAAAAAAAAAAAAAGGAACCTGCAGTTCCTTAAACTCATGGATGAGCAATTAAATGAGATGCCAGAAGTTCCTCAAAACATAGATAATTATGTAAGGACCTGAAGTCCCGAAATATGTACAAGAATTTATAAAAATGTCCATACCATGAGAATATGTGATTTTGGCCCGAAGTTCAAAATCTAAGAGTATTGAATGTCCATAGCATGAAAATATGCGATTTTGGCATGAAGTTTAAAATCTGGCAATATTAAGAACCTGAAGTTCCAACAGTGAAATGGACAACCCTTGAGGTATTATTGCAAATTGTGGTACACCACATCTTTCTTTGGCATAAGAAAATGATGAATTTAATAAAGTTCGATTCTATTACAATCGACACCTCAAGGAAGAAATATATTTTGTGAATTCCGATTCTTAAGAATACGCAGTGAAATGGGTAATATCAGGATAAACCTCAAAGGATGAATTGAGGCTCCCCACATATTTTGTTATATTATACGATCTAGGCTGGAAGCCCATGGATCCAAATACATGAGAGATCCCGAATCTAAAGTTGGGTATATAGTAGTTAATGGTCTTCACTACTATATTGCAATGTTATCATGGCCTTTACTCAATTTATATTTCATGCCCATTTGAAAAGGGCAAATAAATTCTGAGGTCGTGTTTTAGCCCGAGCCAGAAGTTCTGGACTCACATGCATTGAAATATGTAATTTGAGAGATAGGTTGTGATTATTTCAACTTATAAGGCACAAGGTTCCAAACCGTCATTTTGAAAAGACGTGAAAACCACAGGTGCAAATCTAAGAATTTGCCCAATTATTATAACAGAAAAGGAGCAACATTTAAATTGAAATGATTTGGGCGAGAAGAAGAGGAAGCCATTTTAAGAAGAGGCAATATATATAGGCGGAAATGTGGCACCGTTTCCAGGATCCCAATATTTCCCCGGATCCCCATATTCTCTTTCTTTCCTAGGTTCCAAAACTTCACGCAGCCTCCATTAATGTCTGTCGGCACTTTCAACGTTTTCAAGGATTATTTTCGTCAAAGCTGATCTTGCTTTGTGGATTTCACGGAGCTACTTTTTCAAAAGCACCCCGAGAACCTCGCAATTTTCTGTGGTTAATTTGAAATTCACCGGATTTACTTATTCCTCTTATTTGTGTATAAATATGTTACTAACGAAATTTTCTTTGCAGTATACACCCAGTTTCCAATTTTCTCCATATCCAATGATGCAATATCCACTTGTTTTTCCTATCAGTGAGCACTCCATGTGCTTGAGAAGCGAGAATATCTCTAATCATCCATTCAGGAAGCGAGACTATCCCTAATCACGTTTTCGCTACATCAGGGAACTGTAAGAATGACCACATGCTCTGATCTCATGGAGTTCTTCTAGGCTAGGAGAAATGAGAGTTTGTTGTTTGTTCCCACCAGCTTCCTTCCTTGATTACTTACCTTACCTTGCAATCAATATCACAATTCTTTGTATCTTTTCTTTCTTTTGATAACTCTATGTTCATAAGGGATTTTATTTCTTTAGAACGAACATCCGAAGAAAGAATCCATGTAGTGATTCTAACACTGAGGGTCATTTTTTGACAGAGACAGAAGAATTCTCCTGCCTAAGGATGTAAGAAATACTTGTGGTATTTCATGCTTGTACTCTTATTTTGATATTTTGTACGACATTCTTAAAGGTAACCAAATGGGGAGATAAGGCCGTTCCAGAAGAACGTCATGCAAAGAACCATTCCAGAAGAATGACTTGCATTATAGATCGTTTCAGAAGAACGACTTGTATTATGACCATTCCAGAAGAATGGCTTGTATCATTCTGATACATATTCATGAATTATTAAGGCAAATTTCACAGATTGCAAGTTGAATACATTAATGATACACTGCATAGATTGAAATCCCATAAGAACAGAACATAGGTATAGTAGTGATCAATATGATGCACGCTTGTTGCGTAGCAAATGATATGGATTGAAGTCCCGGAAGGACAATCCTTTAACATGTCTATATTAATACGGTGCACGCCTAATGCGTAGCACATTATATGGTTTAAAGTCCTAGAAGGACAATTGATTAACATGTATGTATTAATCTGTGGCATGCCTGCAACATGACAGATATATGGGTTCTAAATGTTCCAACTCCCCAAATGGAGATTATCCACGCCCTACTGTAAAATAACGCTCCATTGGAGGTTAATCCACATTCTCACATCATAAAAGCCCTTTGAAGTGGCTTGGGTACCCAAAAGCAAAGAAATGCTTATAATTAATGTATGCGCATGCACATGAGAATGGTGGGAGTAGCTACTCAAATCATCAATGGGTTGTGTTGATTGGAACCACGTTCTATTATTAAATGTCGACAATATCATTGGCCAAAGTGGAAAGAGGTAATTTCATTACAAATGAGAATGAACGTGAAAGAACAAACTGATAGTACGAACCCCAAAAGATGTTAATGCTGAAAGTTATACTTGGGTGTTTGGAATAAAAAGGAATATACTCACTTTGTATGACACACTGTTTCTGGCAGAAACAAGAAATGTTGGGTTTCTCCATATTTACAGATGCAATCGTGCCTTCTTATTGCACATTTACGGAGACCAACATATCATCTTTAAGGGTTATTAAATGCACGGAGCATATCGCCAAAAGCGATTCCCTAAAGATGTACAAGCAGAACTAATAGCTGAATTTAAAGCTATATAATGTGTCATGAAGTGTAATCCCTTAAACAAAATCCCTGAAGGATTGAGATTGCATGAGGCAAGTCCTTGAAGGACATGTGACTGAAGCACAAAAAATCTGTACTCAATACTAATATGTATAAATTGCCTTAGTGAGTACACTAATATGGTTGCAACACATTACAACTCCCGAAGAGTCGATAATTGATCAAAACTCCTGAAGAGTTAATACTTGGTTAAAACTCCTGAAGAGTTCAAGAAATATTTGTCTCGGCCTGAAGATCGAGCATTATGCCAATGAGATTCTTGCTTATACTAAAAATGTATTGAAGCATTTTTATGTGGATTATTTGTTATGCACTTAAATGATTTTCCGTAAATATACTGGACCGAACATTGTATTTTCTAGATAGAGCTCAGCTCCATCACCATCACCATCACTTTGGGATGATGTGAGACATATTTGATGCTATCTCCGCATAACACCATATACGGGCATATTCTTTCAAGTGAACTTACAAATAGCCCAGATTTTGTTGGATATGCGGACTCTGGAAATTTCTATGGTCGCTTACTGGAAAAAGTTAGTCATGAAGATTTCAGGGGGAGATATTCTTCAAGGGGAGCATCCAACAATATTACAAGATTGACTTACAAAAGTAATTTCAACTATGATATTCAGAAAGATAATCGACATATGGCTTAAAGATATTTTGCCAAGCGTCAGGGGGAGCATGTTATCAATAAAGACCTTCACACATTGTACTCTTTTTCCTTCATCCAGGTTTTTTATCCCATTGGGTTTTTCCTAGCAATATTTTAACGAGGCAGTGTCGCACGCGTGTTAATATACACAGAATTTTATGTTACACATGGTTATGTACTCTTTTTCCCTTCGACTAGTTTTTGTCCCACCGGGTTTTACTGGCAAGGTTTTTAACGAGGCATATTCCATACATTGTGGTCTCCAAGGGGGAGTGTTGTAAAGCTAATAAGTGGAGCCCACATGATTGGAAGGGAATCTCACACACCTTCCCGAGTCTTCTATTTACCGAATTGTTAGCCAAAGCTTTGCCTATAAAACTATGGCTTTATTCTCATTTGTATACACATAAGAAAGTCTCAATGAAAATATCAGATTTATATTACAGCTCAATTTATCTATATTCCCTCCACAATCTCTTCAGTTTTATAACATTTGCCTTATTATATGGATTATTGCACTTGACTTGTACTAAGTTACAAATTTTAATTATTTTATTTTATT